ACATTTCCTAATTTTTGTGATAAAGAGTTCTCCATGCTCTTTTTGTGGCTCTCGTGTGCATCTTCAGCTTTTTAGCATTATTTAAAGTATGTACATGAAAACTGTGTAGTATTGCAGTAGTGTTCCTCTCAGTGGTGCTAAATCATAGGGGGGAAAGGACTGGAAGGGACCTATGGAGGTCATAGAATCATGGAAAAAGTTAACTTAATCCAACTGTTTTCTTAAGGCAAACTTGTCCCTGCCTCAACCATTTTGTACAAATGTTTGTCTAATCAGTTCTTAACTGCTTTCAGTGTTCCAGATGCCACTATTTCCACCATGTAATATGTTGCAGTGCGTAATCACTGTCATTGTTGGGAAGTTCTTCCTAATGTCCAGCCTAATTTTTGCCTCTTTTGTACTTCTTGCCCTGTCCCTGAAGCCACAGAGAATAAGTTATCTCCATCTTTGTAATCATCTGTCTCCTGTGTGAAGAATTATCAGATTCTCCCCCTCCATCTTTTGTTCTCCAGACTGCATAGTTTCATAGTAGTTAGGGTTCAGAAGGGACCTGAATAGATCATCTAGTCTAACCCCCCCGCCACTGGTTGGAGCACACGCTGGGATCACACGACCCCAGACAGGTGTTCATCCAACCTCTTTTGAATTTACCCAAGGTAAGAGTGAGGACCATTTCCTGAGGAAGTTGGTTCCAGATCCTAGCTACACTGCCAGTGAAATAGTGCCTCCTAATCTCTAACCTGAACCTATTCTTTAGCAGCTTCTGGCCATTGTTCCTCGTCACCCCAGGTGGTGCTGGGAGGAATAGGACTCTGTTTGCTGCTGATTTCCCCTAACGAGTTTGTAGGCAGCCACCAAATCCCCCCATAGCCTCCACTTGCTGAAGCTGATCAGGTTCAGGTCCCTCAGCCTCTTCTCGTAGCGGCTGCCCTGCTGCCAAGCGCGTGGCCCTCCTCTGAACCCTCTCCAGGCAGGCCACGTCCTTAAAGTGTGGTGCCCAGAACTGGACGCAGTACTCCAGTTGAGGCCTGACCAATGTTGCATAGAGGGGGAGTATCACCTCTCTGGACCGGCTTGAGATGCACCTTTGGATGCATGACAAGGTGAGGTTGGCTTTGCTGGCTGTGGTCTGGCATTGGCGGCTCATGTTCATCTGGGAGTCAATAATGACTCCCAAGATACCTTTCCGCCTCTCTGCTCACAAGGGGGGAGCTCCCCACCCTGTATGTATGCTGTGGATTTCTTCTCCCCAGGTGCAGCACCCTGCATCTATCTGCATTGAACCCCATCCTATTGCCCATCCGCCCACTTCTGTAGTCTGTCTAAGTCTAATTGCAGCCTCTCTCCCTTCGAGCGTGCCTACCACTCACCATATCTTGGCGTCATGGGCAAACTTGGACGATGTTTTTTCCACCTCCTCATCCAAGTCGCTGATGAAGATGTTGAACAGTGTGGGCCTGAGGACTGAGCCCTGGGGGACCCCACTGTTCACATCCCGCCAGGTCGAGTACAACCCGTCCACCACCACTCTCTGGGTGTGCCCCATCAGCCAATTTTTGACCCATCCAACTGTGTAGGCATCAATGCCACAGTCGCTCAGTTTATTAATGAGAATTGGGTGAGAGACAGTGTCAAAGGCCTTCTTAAAGTCCAGAAAGACTACATCCATGATGACATCATCATCCAGGGATTTAGTTACCTGGTCATAAAAGGCCATCAGGTTGGTCTGGCAGGACCTGCCTTTGATGAACCCCTGCTGATCTCCCCTGGGTATGATCTCCCCTGCCGGCCCCTCACAGATGTGCACATAATCCTAGTTCTTCCAGACTTTTCTTGTAGTTCACATTTCCTCATCTTCTAGCAATCTCTGTTGCTCTCCCCTGACTCCTAGTTTGCCAGGGAGTACTCTAGGTCAGGCCTAATCATTGCTGAATAGAGAGCGTCACTTCTCATTGCCTTGCAGGTGCCACTCCTGTTAATATCAGTCCAGTATGCTATTCCCCCCCCCTCGCAAAACCCCCAAAACAACAAACCAAACCCAAACCCCAGCATGCTATTAACTCCTTCAGGTTGAGGTCCATTATAACCCCCAGATCCCTTTCTGCAGCACTGCAACCTAGCCTAAAATTTGCACATGTGATTTGTTCTGTCCTTAGTGCTGGACTTCGTACGTGTCTTTCTTGAATTTCATTCACTTAATTTTGGGCTATTCTCCCAGTTTACCAAGCACGTTCTAAGACCTAATCCTGTCCTCCAAGTTGTCTGAAACTCTACCCAAGTTAGTGTCTTCTGCAGATGTGCTAACTTTGAACTCAACCCATTCTTCAAATTCTCAATGGAGGTATTGAGGAATACTGGATCTAGCACAAGCCCCTGTGGAATCCCACTCAGTACCTTCTCCATATTCTTCTTTATACCTTTTACTTTACAGGCAGGCCCACACTATACAAAAAATAATATCACTTCCTTTTTGCTGTTTCCCTGTTTTTGGATATTCAGGGATTATGTTGGCCTTTTTTACTCCAGTATCTCACTGAGAGTTCATGTCCTCTTGTTTGTTTAATGTTTTCTTATTGGCCTGAAGTTTCTTCCACAATTACTGCTTCCCAGGATATATTACCCATTTGATTTTCATGTCACTTCCTGTGTCTCCAGCTGAAAAACAGAAACATGGCAGTTTGGCTCGTTTTGGTTTTTTATTTTTAATTTTTTTTTTAGTCTAGCTTCGGAAAAAAATCAGTCCAGATATGTTTAGCAGCTGTTTTGGCATGTTGTACCTTAAACGAGTTTATCTTTGTAGCTCTGTTTATGGATGTCTTTGGATACCCCTACCTCCATCAAAAAGCCTCCATTATCATGAGAAATCAATATGCTCCTGTCAAAGCTGATAAAAGTTACTTGAACTATCCATTTTCTGTAAGATTAGACTTGTGTTGTAGGATTAGTCCTTTAGATGGTGGCAGTCGTTTTTGACTTGTGACACGGTGGGGTTTCATAGCCTTCCCCTGCCCCGCACTCATTTCTCTACTCCTACTTGGCACTGATCGTGCTGCTGCTGCTTGTTGAAGTTTTGCTCATTTTTTTTCTCTGTGAACACCATGTGATGTGAATCTGAAGGAATGTGAATCCTGGAGTGGCTTACAGCTCTGGTTACCATAAGGTTATTGGTTTCTTACACCCACCGTGTTTCAAAGTTTAATTTTTTTGTTTGTTTTTTTGTTCATTTATGCTTTTAATTGGAGGATATATATAGGATATCTGTATATTAAGTTGATCATCTTGAACCTGAGCTCATCTTTTTTTGCTCATCTAAACTACTTGAAAAATAGCCAGAGAGCCATGCTGGTAGATTGAGGGATTTCTATACTCGCACTAAGGAGTTAAGGCAGCGGTGGGCAAAATGCGGCCCGGGGGCCGGATGTGGCCCACCGGGCCATTCTTTCCGGCCTGTGGGGCCCCTAAAAAATTGAGAAAATTAATATTTATCTGCCCCTGGCTGCCTGTCATGCAGCCCTCAATAGCTTGCCAAAACTCAGTAAGCGGCCCTCCGCCCAAAATAATTGCCCGCCCCTGAGTTAAGGCCTTAGAGTGAGAGTGGTTAATTATTCTCTTCAGAGAAACAGCATGATGAGGTAAGCAACTCTTCCTTTTAGAATGGATTACACAAAGTGCCTGAAATCATGAATTGCTCTCCCCTCCTCCCCCCCCCCGTCCCAATCTTGTGCCTCATTGTTATTTGTTGAAGTTTGACTCCCTTCCCTATGGTATCTTTTGAGAACAGCTGTCTCCCGTACGGTACATAGTGGAAGTGGAACGTTTGACTTTCAGAATGAATTAAAGAGCATAGAACCAAGAGAAGAGAAATGGACAAGCAGGGGTTTCATACTGAACCTAACCATTTGTCATTTGTGTTTGTCTTTCATGATGTATGGGATTTATTTTCTTGAATGATACCCTGGTTTATACCTTTAATTAGGTTTGACAAAAATAGATAAGGTGAGTTAAAAAAAATAAATAGGTGGCCAGGATTAATGCACTTGTTGATCATATTTTGGAAATACACGTAGCTATCCTGATCTGTATGATATATGTGTGTATGCCTGCGATTAAAAGGCACATCTTAATAAAAGGAAGAATAGTTGTTTTGGAGGCAACAATGATGGAATCCACTAGTTTTCATATATGTAACATTTAGTCTCTAAACACTGACTTAATGAATCTTTCATCCAAATAATATTGATAATGGAAACTGACCAAATTGCAGCATTGCTTACTTGAGGTGACATTCAGAACAGCGATGCAGGAAAAAGTATTCTTAAAAGGCAATTGTCGTTCTGTAGCTTGGGATTGTGTCTAAATTCATATTTTAATCGTATGTTCTTTATTAGATAATTGTACGTTTGATAACTAGAAAATGAAAATCACATACAGTTACGATAGAATTTGAATATATCCGGATGTTTATACATTGAGTCAAAGATTCAAGGAAGTGAGAAATAAACACTCTCCTTCCTCCAGAAGACCTTGGTAAAATCAGACTTGAAAATAAGAAATGTATTTCTTTCATTTTTTTTTTCATGAGGGCAATATACTGCCTGCTTTGACAAGCTACTTAAAGAAAAAAGAAAAATCCCATTTTCTCTGAATGGATTTTGTGCCCACACTCCCGCCTAAAAGGTAGTGAAGGAAATGATCTTCAGCATCTCAGCCAGTCAAACTGAAAATTGTAGGTTTCTTCCACGTAGATGTGTTAACCTTGTTAACCATCAGTAAGCAGAAAAGATTTTGATTGGTAGAAACAACAGCAAATAAAATGACTTTCTGCAAATATTAGATATGATGAAACTGTTGTTCTGAAATGCACTGCAGTGCCTTAATTTTCTATCGGACCATTCATATATAAAAATGTATTAGTTTACGTAGAGATTTTATCCATCTTTAAGCAAAAAAAATCTTACATATTTGAGAGGATATACTCTTTTTTTTTTTTTTTCCTCCAGGGTTGAATCCCACCAGATTTCGAATAGGTGACCAAGAGTTTGATTCATTGCCATCTTTACTGGAATTCTACAAAATACACTATTTGGACACTACAACTTTGATAGAACCTGTTTCCAAATCCAAGCAGAATAGTGGGGTTATCCTGAGACAGGAAGAAGCTGAATATGTGCGAGCACTCTTTGACTTTAATGGAAATGATGAGGAAGATCTTCCATTTAAGAAAGGAGACATACTGAAAATCCGGGATAAGCCTGAAGAACAATGGTGGAATGCAGAAGACAGCGAAGGAAAGAGAGGAATGATACCTGTTCCTTACGTCGAGAAGTATAGACCTTCCTCTGCTTCAGTATCTACTCTGATTGGAGGTAACCAGGATAGTTCCCACCCACAACCACTGGGTGGGCCGGAGCCAGGGCCCTATGCCCAGCCCAGCATCAACACTCCGCTCCCTAACCTTCAGAATGGCCCTATTTATGCTCGGGTTATCCAGAAGCGAGTCCCTAATGCCTACGACAAGACAGCCTTGGCTTTGGAGGTACATAATGGGCAAAATTTAGAAAGAAGAGATCTGTTCAAGGGATTTCGCTTTCAACACATGATAGCTTTGCTAAGGATATTAAGGGAGAGAAAGTGCTGTAATACTGCTCTTCATGTAAAATCAATAAGTATTTTATGAATGTAGTCTGTTTGAAATCAACAGTAAAAGACCAGAGAGAGTTCTGATGCTTTATGCCATGTGTTAGTTGAGATAGTAAATTCACTGAACCAGTAACCCATCTCACTTCAGGCATGACTAACATGATACTGCTTTCTCATCTGTTCTTACTCACTTCTATCTACTTCTTAAGTTTTATGGTCAAAGATAAAATGAAGTTCCTAAACCTTTTGGTTTGACCCCTTGTACACGTCCTGTGGCCAATTGTTACTAACCCAAGCTGAGGGATAGAGAGAAAAGATGGTTCGATGGCAACCTTTCCACGTGATCTTTCTTAAAATACTAAGGTGACGCTGATCATGCATAATGTCTTAAGTAGGACATCCCTCACTGAAGTAGAAGCACCTTGTGTCCAGTTTGTTCACTGTTTTAGATATGGGTGTATCAAGTCTCTTTTTTTTTTTTTTTTTTTAAATCAATCCCACATGTACAAGATACTGAGACTGGATGCAGTGGGTTCTTGATGCATCAGAATTCTTCTTAAAGGAGCTGTAATTTCTTGAGTCTACCGTCAAATAGTTGTGTCTTGTCAAATGATAAGATTGTAAGCTGAACAGAATGTGTATTTAACTTAATTTGCTATATGGATTGTTGCATGCATGCTTCAGTGGCCAACTGAAATGTTAAATTGAAGTAGGGCTATGTCCAGAAAGGTTACAACATTCATTTGTATGTCTTCTAGTCAGCGTGTTGCTTGGAAAGCCTTTTCTTTATAGCCACAAGGCTTAGATTTTCTAGCTGAGAGTTTTTGTTCCTGGTAGTAGTAGATCATGCTGACAAAATTTAGGGATGGATTCTTTCAGATCCTATTTTTCTGTGATCCAAGCAATAAGCAACACTCTTGTGTTGCCCTTCTCAGATTAAAGCAAGTGTGCTTTTTTTAAAGCTCCAGGAAGGGCTGGGTTGTGAGTTTTGAAGACTAGAACAAATTTGACCATGTGACTTAATTCATAATCCATTTGAGGGTCTGCACAACATGGGATGCTGCTGTGTATATCAGCAGGGATGGCCAGACTGGGTCTGCCCAAAGGCCCATCTAACCCAGTATCCTGTCTCCCACAGTGGCAAGTAGCAGGTAGTTTAGAGGAAGAGTATAAGAAGCGAGAACTGTGAAGTGATATGTTCCCTTTTCAAGCTCCCCCCTTGCTTAACAGCAGTCATAGTAATGTCCTGAGCCAAAGATTACATCCCTTACTGTTGTGTCTAACCTGGAACCATTGTCCTGTTCATTTTTGTTCTTTTCTACCAGTGCTTTAGTTCTACTGTATCTTTTTTGAGGTGAGGTGGCCGGGACTAGTGGATTTATTTAGTAAAGGTGTCTCCCTCTACTGGCCACTGGGGCAGTGAAGGCAGGGCTCCACTGTTTCTTTAAC